TGGTGCCTTTTTTACCGCTTCATTAGTTCGCGCCTTTTGGTTGGCATGTAATACATGGCTGAGTTCGTGCGTGAATTGTGTTTACAGACTTCCTGGAGATGAAGCTTGGTATGGTCCCGGATCCGCATGGTCTGCCCGGCGAAAATAAATGACGAAGCCATCTACGCAAGCGGGGCCTCGCTGGCGAAAAAACATCAGCTGGCGTCACGTCGCCAACCCCGCCGCGGCGTTCAGTCCGTCACCGAGCCCGCCAGTCCGTCACCGACCCCGCCCCGGCGTCCGGCCTGTCCGGGACCCCGCCGCGGCATTCAGTCCGTCACCGAGCTCGCCAGTCCACCACCGACCCCGCCCCGGCGTCCGGTCCGTCCCGGACCCCGTCCCGCGTCCAGCCTGTCCGGGACCCCGCCTTGGCGTCCAGTCCGTCAACGACCCTGCCCCGGCGTCCAGCCCGTCCCGGACCCCACCTCGGCGTCCATCTCGTCCCGGACCCCGTCCCGCGTCCAGTCCGTCAACGACCCTGCCCCGGCGTCCAGCCCGTCCCGGACCCCGTCCCGCGTCCAGCCCCGCCTCTGTTCCCCTCGCAGCCCTGGATGACGGGCTCGAAAGCCAACTGCTGTACAACCGTATGAGATATCAAACGCATACAACTGGGCGAAGGATTTACCCTTTATTCGGTGAAGGGCTGCCATGATTTCGTGGAGAGTTCCTGTGCGATTTTATGAGGATTCCTGACGGACCATGCGGAGTATGCCTGCAGGGTTTTGAGGGATTCGTGAAGGGCTGATGGAAAGCTTCTGTGGGACTATGTGGGACAAGTGTCTGTGGGGCTAAGAATTTCTGTGGCGTTGATAGAAAGTTCCTTAGAGATTTTGTGGAAGATTTCTGTGGGATTTTCTGCACAATTCTTGTGAGTTTTTGTGCAGGGTTCTTGTCACATTTTGTGTTGAATTTATGGGGCGTTTTGTGGGGGTTCTGCAAGTCTTTGAGGTGGATTCTTATGGGACTTTATGCAGAATACCTGTTGGGCTTTGTGCAGAATTCCCGCGGGATTTTGTGCAGGTTTCTGTGTAATGCATGCAGGTGAAAGATGCATGCAGAATCACGGGAATGATTTGCACAGGAATCCTTGTAACAATTTCGCACAGGTCTCCCACAAGCCTGCTTATTCACGAAGCATGCGAAACAGTCCTACCGTAATCCTACAGGACTATTGGCAAAGGAAGCGTTGACGATGATGGCGAATGTACGGCAACATTTGAACATTCGTGGCATTTGGGTAGTTTATGTCTGGTGGCTGAGTGTAACGCTGAATTGGCCGCGTTTAGGTTTCGTATGCGGCTTGCAACTCTGAGCAGACCCGTGACGGCTTCATGAGCTAGGTTTGTAATCACACACATTCAAAAATGTGCAGCATTGTGGGGCCACTTTGATCTGTCAACTTGTGACACGTTTTGATCTACAACAGTGCTGACATGCATATAAGCCGCCCAGGGCGCACGTGCCGCTCGTGCGTCGCACGCTCCCGCACCGCTTCAAACTGTGGTGACGGCGATGATTTGTGAGCCGGCCATGACATCTGGTCCGAAGTAGATATACAAATTAAAAGCAATCAACCGCATGCCCTCCCGCGTTTCCATCCCCTCCCCCCCCCCCCCCCATTCCAGTCCCGTCCGCAGTGAGATCAAGTTTGCCAAGGTCATCGGGTTTATGGACATGGGACAGCGCCGACAAAGCGAAACGCAGAACGTCTGAAACATGTCTAGAAACCCTAGAATGGATGCATTCGGTGGTTGCCAAAAAAGGCACAGAATATGCCGAATATTCCTGATTATGTTTCCGATTATAAGTCGAATCATGGCATTTGCACAGATGATTGAGTACGCCCTACATGTCTAACACTAGCCATCTAAAAAAAATGTCATGCATAGCGCTTATGAGATGTATGCGGGCAGACAGGGTCAAACTGCTCGAAACTGCGTTTCTCTTCACCAGTGTCATGGACGAGGACCTGCGCCTTCCGGTTGGTCAGGTTGATGTTAAAATGGAAACAAGTTTTTTGAGCTTCCTCGTTATTGTTATTTTGTTATCATATATTTTGCATTTTGTTATCACATATTTTTGTATTTATCATATATTTATAATTTTATTTTGTTACCACATTATATCATACATTTTGTGAGCTGTTTCGTCTCTTTATTTCTCGTTGCCTCGTTTGTAACGCTTCGCAAGAAGTTCCGATGGAACAGAATTGAATTTGAAGCTGGAGAATTAAATGCCAGTACAATGACACCGGTACGCACAAAATCAAGTTCTTTATTTGCACGATAGTTCAGGCCGGACGGGGTACAGAATTGTATTGGCTGGCCTGGAACTGCCCGCATTAATGTTGTCAAGTATGTGTGGTTTCGTATATCGCTTTCTCACATCTGTGTGCACTGGTCATCGTCTCTTGCTGTGTGCCAGCCATAATCAGGTGAGGAAAGCGTCGCTGAACTGTCGCAAGGCGGTCACCGTCTATGGGTGCGCGCTGTCCGCCGGTGACGCGCATCAGCCGCTCCCGACACCACACATTCTTGCACCATTCCACCGGCGCCACTCGCCGGGCGCCCGCTGTGCGAGGCGGATTTCGTGAGCCGTTTCTGTGAGCCGCCGGTCTGCCACTTCCAATGTAAGCCGTGGCATCTCCTGTCCACCGGCTGAATCTCACCTCGCATATCCCGGACATGCAGTCTACCCGGTCTCTCAAGTACCCGACACTTAACAGACGTCAAAGAGCATCTGCGCAGCAGCTGTCAAAAAACAAGCGTAGCAACCATAGCGAAAATGCTCCGCAATTGCAGGACGTTTAACTGGAATTCCCCTCGTTGCGTACTACTCCCCGTAAGCACGTTTTTTCCTTTGAACTCCACGCTAAAGACGCCACACCCTCGCGCTGGTGACATCCGGCGAATGTCCCGCACGAACTTCGACGGGGCTGGCTCGTGTCACATCACATGCAGCCCGTGTCGCCACGTAGCGCGAAGGCCAGGCGGCGCTCTGGTCACGAAGGCTGGACTTGTTTGTGAATGGTGTCAACATATCGTGGGGCATATGTTTGACCGCGAGAGGGTCACGTGATCATCGCCTGGCAATGGGTGCAGGGAATCGGCTCTCATATATGCGATTGAAAGCAAAGAACTCATGACGGGTCTGTATCCGCTATCCAGGGGGCCCCAACTCCACTCTCAGACCCTGGACCGTGTCGGTGTTTCGCTTCCAAACTGGCGAGCCTCGGGCAGCTGATCTCCGTGACAGTGTCCTCCAACTGACGCCGCAGCTGGTGTCGGCTAGACCATTCTGAACTCCGTGGCAGTCCGCTCCAACTGACGTCACAGCTGGCGTCGGCTAGACCATTCTGAACTCCGTGACAGTGGTCTCCAACTGACGTCGCAGCTGGTGTCGGCTAGACCATTCTGAACTCCGTGAGTGTCCTCCTTGGACAAAATGAAAAGTTACGTACTAAGAAGCTTACACGTGAATTACGTAAGTTAATAAGTGCATTAGTGAGGAGCATTATGCGTATAAATAAGAGAATAATAAAACGTTATTCCTCGTTGAATGGCAAGGAGAATGGAGAGATAGATTTTTCAACATTTAGCTTTCCATTCTTCTGGTTGTTCTGAGTGATAAGGCTATTAGTGCCGTCTTCTTCATGCTTCTTAGTTGCTTGGAATTTGAACTACTGCATTCTGATAGTACAAAGGCCCTTTTCTGAGTTAATGTACCTATTGATTATTTTAGTTACCATTATGTAATCATCTCCATTTCATTGGCTTTCAACCCATTCAGTCCTCGTAAGCTGGCAAATTTGGAAATCGGTCCGGTCATAACTTATGTTTTGTTGAAAGCTTCTGATCCCGTCCAATCTGGCCTGCGAATTGGTCCACATTCCGTGACATGGCGTAGTGTCGGCTAGCAGGCGGCGCAGAATTTGACCGCAGCGCCGCGGCGGGCCAGAGTCACGACTTGGGCCAGGGCCTCGGCGTGGGCTAGAGCTGCGGCGTGGGCCAGTGCCGCGGTGTGGGCCTGAGCCGCGGCGTGGGCCAGAGTCACGGCGTGGGCCAGGGCCTCGGCGTGGGCTAGAGCTGCGGCGCGGGCTAGCGCCGCGGTGTGGGCCTGAGCCGCGGCGTGGGCTGGTCACGCGTGGCAGGGCTCGCGGGGTAGAGGCCGTGGGGAGTCACGGCGTGGGCCAGAGCTGGCTAGTGCGCGGGTGGGCCTGACGCGGCGTGGGGTAGACTCGGCGTGGGTAGAGCCTCGGGTGGGACGTGAGCGGTGGGGCTAGAGCCTCGCGTGGGCCAGGCCGGTGTGGGCCTGAGTCACGGCGTGGGCAGAGCCGGCGTGGCTAGAGCTCGGCGTGGCCAGAGCTCGGGGGGTGGACTGCGGCGCGGGCCAGTGCCGCGTTGGGGTGTGTGGGCCAAAGCAGCGTGGGCAGAGCCTCGCGTGGGCAGAGCCTCGCGGGGCCAGTGCGCGGTGTGGGCCTAGCCGCCGGGGAGAGCCTCGGCTAGGCCTTCGGCGTGGGCAGAGTGCGGCGCGCGGCCAGTGCGCGGTGGGGCCTGAGCCGCGGCGTGGGCTAGAGCCTCGGCGTGGGCCAGAGTCACGGCGTGGACCAGAGCCGTGGCGTGGACTGGAGCCGCGGTGTGGGCCTGAGCCACCGGCATTCCAAACAGCATGGCCGCAGAGCGGGGGAGCGCGGTGCTCAATGCGTCAGACCAGCGTGTTGTCCCGACTGAAGTGAGCTGCGTGGTTGGAAGGCGTAACTGATTTGCTACTGGCGTAGCATCGTTCTTGGAGTGAAGTAATTATACCTGGCTGCAGACCCTTGGACTGACACCAGGCTGCAAAAATCAGGACAAACAAGTGACAGCTTCAGCGACCAACTTCGTGGTATCGTAATTGGCCAGCTAACGTCAGGCATCAACGGGTAAATATTATCGAAAATAGATGTTCATTAAAACACGGAGTGCGTTCATGTTATATTCGTACTGTTAGCAGGTGACAGGAAATTGGACACGCTTATCATATACTCACAGGTCCCGGAAGCGACCATGCTGTGCAGGAATATAAACCATGCGAGACGACACGTGAGTACACGGGTTGCCAAACAGACACGATCGCAACCAGACCCTCGGCGAGATCTTGCATTCCCTTCGTGGGGCCAGCTGGGGGCAGGTTCGTCTGTGGCGCCCGTCTCACCACCAGTGCACATGCGCTTGCTTGCTACCATACCGTGCGGCGCTGCCTGGAGAGGCCTCGCCTTGCAGGCGCGGCGGGCTCCGATCCAACAGCGCTCGCACTATATCCAAACCCAGCCCGCGACCCAAAACTACGGGCGACGGTCGCTCGCCCGGAGAGCCCGCTCGAACACTCGCCCCCACCGACTGGAGCGACGCTGACGTCGTCCAGCCGCCTCACAACTTCTGGTAGATGTAGGTGATGCCCTGCTTGGTGTCGAAGAAGTAGCGGTCTGTGACCCGGCGGTCCACGCGGCGCCACTTGCCCGCCTCCTCCAGGTCGTCCATGTGCCGCTCCAGGCGGTGGTACTCCGGCACCGTCACCAGGTACTCGAACCGCATCGAGTTGATGATGTAGCCGCCTGAGAGCGTCAGGTCAGGTCAGGTCGGGTCAGGTCGGGTCAGGGGCCGTGCAGTTTGCCTGTGCAGGCATGCACTCACACGCATCATACACTTCTGGGGTGCGGGGTGGTCGGGTTGGGGTAATCGCGAAGACACTTCCGGGGGCGGGTGGTCGGGTTGACAATCGCGAAGACACTTCCGGGTGTGGATGGTCGGGTTGGTAATCGCAAAGACACTTCCGGGTGCGGGGGTGGTCGGGTTGGTAATCGAGAAGACACTTCCGGGTGCGGGTGGTCGGGTTGGTAATGCGCAAAGACACTTCCGGGTGGCAGGGTGATCGGGTTGGTAATCGCACAGAACACTTTCCGGGGTGCGGGTGGTCGGGTGGTAATCGTGAAGACACTCCGGGTGCAAGGTGGGTCGGGTTGGTTATCGCGAAGACACTTCCGGGTGCCAGGTGGTCCGGGTTGGTTATACGCGAAGACACTGACTTCCGGGTGCGGGTGATCGGGTTGGTAATCGCAAAGACACTTCCGGGTGCGGGTGGTTGGGTTGGTAATCGTGAAGACACTTCCGGGTGCGGGTGGTCGGGTTGGTAATCGTGAAGCCACTTCCGGGTGTGCAGGTGGTCGGGTTGGTTATCACGAAGACACTTCCGGGTGACAGTGATCGGGATGGGGATCGCGAGGCTGACAGCACGCGATGCACCGTAGCAGCCATGTCTTACGGCAAGAACTTCAACATGTTCAAAACACAAATCGACCACAACTTGACTGTAATATTGGTGTTCGAAGCGGACCATAGTGTCGGTTCCAAGTGGGTAGCATATCCTTTTTATATATATATATATATATATATATATATATATATATATATATATATATATATATATATATATATATATATATGTTGCATTTTGACCATCTCACGTTAAAGATTACTTCTCTGGTGACCTCACATCACGAGGGTGGGGTCTGTCTCGCCGGTCGCATGTTGTGCAGTGGCAATTGCATGATCTGTTTGTTGTTTTTTTTGTATGATGGTGACGGGTACCATGCCTCTTATCTGCAACGTTTCAAGTGAAGTGAGGTGTCTGCTCCGTGGTGTGGGCAAGTAAAGTGATGTCGGTGAGAACACACTCCTTGTGAGTGTTGTGATGTGGTTTGTGCACCCACATGTTTTCGATGCCCCTGCCGCAAGTGCACAATTTAACGTCCGATGAGACTCAGTAGTCAAGTGAGTGCAGATTACTTTATGGGTTTCGCAGTCCCCGGCGGTACATCCGAAACAGCAAACTACATTGGTCTGCTTCAATTTACCTCCGGTTTGATTGAGATTATTTTTCATATGAAAGCAAGATGTTTTTCAGTTTTTTAGCATGTTACAAATGCTAATTTTTCCGTTGATCAGAAGGGGCGCAGGGTGTGAGGAGAATGCTATGCATTCAGGTTTTCTTCGGTTTTCCGAGATTAATTCACGGTATTTTTAAGTTTCAATATCTTATGACGGTTCCACCGAGAGTATTCCTTTCTCTGTCTTTTTAAGATAGTTATTGAATAAGGATTTCGTGACATCGCCAGTCAGTATTCGCGTGTCCATATTGATGATCATTTGACACAGCCGATCCAGTTCCCGATCAAAAGCTCTCCACGAAAAATAATTTTTCAAAGCCTTGTGTGTATCAACGAGAATATCCCTTTTAGCGTGGGTTATCATCTTATAGGTGTACTTGATAAACCGCATAAGCCGTTTTCCAATGGTAGTTGTTCATGTAGCATATTATGGATGTTCATGATCCGATAAAAGCTACATATAGAAAGGAACTTTAACAAAGCGCAGCTGCTTTTCTCCCCCGCATTTCTGATTCTTAAATTTGTAGCAGTAAGCACAGACAAATCTATCATGTGCAAATCATGTTTCAGTATATATTTTTCCGGCTATATACTCGATACCAATATTCACCCTGAAATAAAACGAGTCACTATGGTTCATCGAGTCACATCTAAAAATGTGTATATATATATTTTTATATATATATATATATATATATATATATATATATATATATATATATATATATATATATATATATATATATATATATATATATATATATTATATATATATATATATATATATATATATATATATATATATATATATATATATATATATATATATATATATATATATACGAACCATATATAATGCAATCTCCATGCATTATTTCAGGCAGCAAAAGTGCAAGCAAAAACGCTGCCTTCATATTTTGAGACGGCTATCACGTATCAGTGTCCAACACCAAGCCACGTCCAGCGGCTGGCTTTACCGGGTTTGCAGATCCGGATCATCTCGTCCAGAGCCTCGGGTGGCAGGTGTCCCTGCACGAAGCCGCCGGCGACGACCACGGCATCGTACGTGTCGGCCTTGACCTGGGTCTCGTGCTCCCCTATGGTGTCCTGCGGGCGCGACCCAGCTCAGCATCCGGTTCAAAAACGGAGGTCATGTCACGGATCGACAACTGGCCAGGCGGGATCCGTCTTAGGTTCGTGCGGTATACCCTGCACTACTGGTGTGATGGTCGTTTTGTGGCGTATCTGGCAAATTTCCCCGAAAAATTATCGGTTATAAGCATCGTCGCAACATCTAATCGAAATATCTGATCGACTCTATAGCTTAGCCTTCGCTCTGATCTCCCGTTTTTCATTACGCGGACTGATAAGGGGGTCGATGCGCCCCCCCCCCTGCCTGCCGTTTCCAACATAAGAAGGATAGAGCTCAGTAGAAAACACCAGTGAGTTTTTCAACGAGATCCCGCAATTGGTAATCGGCTTTATGTCACTAGGTCAAAAATGGACCTCATTATACCAAATTAAGAGTTACATTTTCTCAAAAATCAAACTTTTTCAGCTTAACATGCTCATATGTACAAGACCAAGCACCATTGCGGCACGAATTCCGACCAGGCAGATTTTGTGTTGAATTCTGAATTCAATGTCATGTGGTTGCATGCCTTTTTGCGGACATTTCTATGCTGTGGGGATTCGGGGAGGGACTGGGGTTGCATTACCCCGCTCCTAGTAGGGCTAACCCCCACAACCAGGACCCCACAACCCCCATCTTTGCACATATGGTATGAAAAATTGGCACGATATATGATGCATCTGGCTTTACTCGCTGATCCAAATCGTAACAAAACCCCACAAAGAGTTAAATGTACGCAATGGGGTTATGCCTAGGGTCAAGGTCATCATGCACTAACCGATTGCAAATTGATCGTTTACCTCGATGTATTTCCCGTAGATGCCTCTCTTCATAGCGACGCCCATCATCTCCTGGGAAGGATCAATCGCGTCCAGGTGGCGAACTCCTTCGTCGTACAACTGTGGGCAATTACGACAAAGTAGTGTTAGCACTGCTGGCAGTGTCCGGCCGTGCCATAGCAACAGTGACTGCGTTGTACTGCTGAAAGAAAGAATGGGTCATGTACGATAGCGTATCTTACTGGTTTCAGCTTGCTTATTCTGGTCACTGCACGGGCTGTTTGGGACAAGTTGGCATTATTCATATACAATTTGTCACTTGGACTGAAGCATCTTTTATTGGTGGGGGAGGGGGTGGGAGTGAGGGAGGCAGACTGCTCCAGGGTGCCTCCTGAAAAACTGGGACCTGCTCACAGCGGGCCTCCTGGGTAGTCCTTTTTCCAAAGTTTTTCACGTTCCCTCTCATATATTTTTTATTATATGCATCAAAATCCATGCGGATAAATTTCGACAGTATACCAGGGGGCATCTAGCTATTATAGGGGATTCCCGATCCAGCGAAGGGCGTCCCTATCTCAAAACAGGGCCTGCTCCTCTATAAAAGGGTCTTTTGATGCATAGAGATGCCTTTTAATCCGAGACACCTTCATCGGATGGGTTCTCTTGTCTCGATCTGGTGTAGAGAGATAGCTAGGAAGATAAGCGTCATCATTCATCGGCGTTAGTTTCGGTGCTGCGGTTGGCGTAATATTGCCAATACCAGTGCTGAGATCCCCTGTTTTATTATCTTTGAAACATTCGATAATACAGTTGCAGATATTGCAGAGGTGGTTGAAGCAGGCGAGGGGTGCAAATCGGACAACAAAATTTTGCGAAGAAGGGTTTTAATTTAAATATGAAGATCTACAAAAACAAGAATATGTCACAGACCAATCATGACGTCCAAGCTCAGACCATAAGCGGCAGAACTAATGCATCAGGTCATCAATATATAATAAATCATAGTATATTATAATAGCACATCATAGGTATACATCACAGGGACAAATCATCAGGGGCAGTGCATCAGTATATGCATATATACGAGCGAAAGATGTTTTCACATTTTGCACACCCTAACACGGTGACCAGCGTCTTTCAATGCCAACATTTTCGTGCATCCGACATCCTCTGATTTCAGGGAGCCCGAATGCCGACCTCGCATGATATAAACACATGGATATGCCGATTCACCGAATGATTCGATCGATGTTGGGCCCGTTCTCGGAACCGTGCGATTGAAGGCACTATCAATCATATGCCTTATTGGATATGCCCTAAGATATGCAGGGGTTCATTGCAGAATAATAATATGTATGTGTATTGCAGAATAAGCAAGATGAAATCCTGTGGTAAGAAATGGGCCTCTGGACCGTATGTGATCTCACAATTGACCGCATATTCGTACTTGGATTCCGACAGCATCGGATAAGAGCATACTGTGGTATCGCGTACAGAACAGGCATCCAGAACAGAAAAGAAGTGCTCCCGAGATAGCCGTTCACTTTCCTAGATTGCTCCCTCATTGGTTTATGCTGATGACGGTGAACCTGGAACAGTCAATCAGCGCCGTACTGCTGTTGAGGGTACTTCCATAATGATTGATCCAGTCCCTAAACAAAATTCCAGCGCCTGAGTGAGCTCTGCAGCCAAGAATAGCATCCAGTTAACTTAATACCAAAACATCCTAAAGCACCCGGATTTTGACTGGAATAATATCTTGCTTAATTAGCACGGAACATTGGCATACTTGTAGCAGATCGGTCAGGATGCAAGTTCTGGACCCATCCGCCTCCGGTCCGTGTTCCAGAGCCGCGAACTACACTTAAGCAAATGCACCAACGGCACGTACCGAAATGCATAACGGCGTTCGTTCAAACATGTTGCGTTGTATTGCAGCGGACGAAGTTTGAACGTTTAGGGAAAAAAATGAGGAGCTAACGAAAAGAGATAAGGTCATGTTTATAATGGAGACGTGGACGTTCAATTCGAGCATACCTTCAAATCTTAAGCATGCATTTCAAACGTATTTGTTGCCATAACACTCAAATGTCCCGAAGCTGTCTAATTTACTACGCAACAGGACAATTTACTAAGCTGGCATGTCTTCTGGTGTTTGTCCATGACCTGATATGCCTGTAATACATGACCCCTGTTTTCGATGAGTCTGAAAGTGTTCTGGACACCATAAGTGACCTGAATACGTCCAAGCCGATTCATGTAAGAAATCCAAACATCGGAATATCATGTGCCAATGCGCCTGGCGAAAAGCTCCAATATCAAACCCGAACCGACACACGCTACACCACATCTGACAGGGGTCGTCTGAGGCTGTGGCCTGACCTAGGTCTGACCGTGGTCGTCTGAAGTCGTGGTCTGACCGAGGTCTGGCCGAGGTCGTCTGAGTCGTGGTCTGACCGAGGTCTGACCGAGCTCGTCCGAGGTCGTCTGACGGAGGTCTGACTGACATCGGCTGGGTGGCCATGTCTGGTGGGGGCGCGGCAGTGCCCTTGCGGTCGTTTTTGTTTTAGTTTGCCTGGTCAGCCTGTGTGTGTTTACCGTCCCAACACCAGACCGCCGCGCCGCGTCTGGGAGGCCGCACCCGCTGGCCCCGGTCGTCGGTCCCGACCGGCTGACCAAGCGGGGCTCTGTGAAATGTACATGCTCACCCCTGACCTCGGGACCTGCCCGTCAGGTCTGGGCGGGTCGACTCTGAAACAAACGTGTGTAGCTCAGGCTGACGCCTCAGGTTAACCATGATTGTGACGAAAGGTCAACGGTGTATTCAGGAGGCCAACAGTGGGGTGAAGGCGGTGGTTTTTCCATGTGTACGTAGAATATCTAAGCGTAGGTTCATTTCAAGCGTAGAACAAAATGCAAAAGACGATGGGAATGCAAAAGCGTGCATAAATGCAAACGTTCCAAATTTGATATTACAACTATGGTAAATATGAGGGAATATCTATAAACTTTCCCGAATCAAGTGATGATCAAAAGGCAAAAGCGTGTATAAATGCAAACGTTTCAAATTTGATCTTACAACTATGGTAATTTGAGGGAATATCTGTAAACTTTCTCGAATCGAATCTAGAAACTTGCTCGAATCATAACGTACGTCTAGTTTGCAAATATCATGGGGTACAAGGGACCACTGCAGAACAACAAATATTAATAAACGGTGCAGACAGCGGCGCTTACTCCAAATTGTGGTGCTTGTTTCCGCTTCCGGCAACACCCTAGGCTGGTGGTGAATGTGGACAAAAAAATTGCATGGGAAAATGCAGGCTAATGATGCCCTAGCGTGGATATTGAAGCTGGGTATTTCCAGCATTGTAAGGTTTGGATTCCAGGGTAAGTTGACTTGTGTCCGGGTTTGCATTAGTTCTTCGCATCCATTCCAAAATATTTAGGTCTTTGCATTACAGTGTTAAGCTAATGTTATGAATTAGAAAAGGCAACGGGCGACCCAGCACAATATAGGGCAGACTAATATGCGTTCCATTTAGTTGATCTGAAGAAAATGTGAGCCAGGAGAATGCAAAATACATCCAATTCCATGCTTCATTGATACCTTTAATCATTCAGAGCGCTTCGGAGACCGACGAACCAAGTATAAAATTTCAGAACTCTTAGCATTCGAAAATGTTTAAATATATTCGCATGCTGCGATTCGGAATTCTTTCGAAACACATAAATCGTATCGACTGACAGGCCTTCATAGCTACATACCAGATACCATCCGCATGATTTGACGTATCCGTCTCCGCAACATGTGAACTCACTACGACGCCATAGACATTTCACCAACATTATCTAACCTTATAGCTGAGCCATCGGATACCCACTAGCGTTCTCCGGATATGCTCATGCCACTTACGTCTCCTGCCGCTGTCACTTTTCAAGGGCTCGGATCAGGGACGATCAAGGGCTCGGCTGGAGAGCAGAAGGGCCCGAAGGACTGGCTGTAGATCACATGAAAAATTGCGGCCTGTTTAGATTCAACTATTTAATGTTCTAAAGCGTTCGCAGGCACCTCTTTCAGATGCGTCATCACCTTCGCCCATACGTTGACCATAACTCAGCGTCAGCCACGGGGCCCGCACGGCCTATGGAGACTGCAACGCCTGGTGTCGAGGTCGTGTTACTAAGATTTGCGAGCGCGCATGTTCAGAACTGCGGTACATAATTTGCATGGCTAATCGATCGTGACTAAATGTCGAATGCCTCCACACAAGCATGGATTAGCCTAGTTCAGGCAAATTGTTAGCCTATTTCGATATACAATTTATATTCGCGGGGTCCATAATATTTCCGTAGGACTCAGATAGAAATTCTGACAAAGCTTCTGAGTTCTATTGGTTAAGAAAGCATCCACTGGCCCATTGCAAAATGAAGAGCGCGGACAATTTATTTCATCCCGTTGTTGAACGCATGATTTGTTCGGTTTATTGGCTTGAAATCTGGCAGAATCTATATCGGGGTAGCTTCTTGCTTCTATTCCAGTTCTAAAAGGAAAGTTAAAAAGGCCAATAAAAGCACGCCCTCATTAACTACTGGGTCATATGCGGCTTTTTTCCGGGCATTTCGCCATCAGGGGGCCCTTTGTCAACCCTATGCCCCCCCCCCCCCCCCCCCACTTGCCGAAGCTCTGGCCGCGCACGTGCTCATGACTAAACAAATCGGGCGTTGTCTGCGTTTCTCTAATCACAGGTTGTCACAAAGAACCCTGAGTTTTTCACGCCGCACATTGCTCATCGTCTGGTCCCATAGGACAACACATTGTGCCAACCTCTCTGATGGTCTGAAAACATCATTGATCTGATCACAAAATGGCTGCGTGACAAGCGCTGGCACGTTCCATCTTGTGATCTATGACGCTTGGCACACATTCCAACACTGACATCAATCGGAGTCGCAGTTTCGACGTCAAAATGAGCGATGAGACACATGATATCAAATAGAAGTGATTGTATATATGCCAGCAGCAAGAATAAACTGCTTAAATAGGACCGTCGGTCACCCCTACTGTCAGTTTACGTCAAATGATACGACACGTCGCAGCCATGTCCACATACCAGCACGAACAAATATTTGTGGGTTAAACGCAAAGGAAGGTCTGCCCAGAAACATACAATTAGCGCTCGTGACTGACGGATGCCAAGAGGCTAATCTGATGAACAGTAACCACTTGGACTTGACTTTTGGTTGGCGCGCTTCGGCCTGTTGAGCCCTCAGCGTTCGTGACGGGCTTCCTTTTACCAGCGCGGGACTCCGACGCTTGTCCGGATGAATTGCGCAAAGTGGTGCATCCCCCAGTGTGCAGCCAAGCGACCGCGTGACCTAAGTAACCAACACGGGATGGGGTTTACCCGGAAGCGTCCCAGCGGCGACCACTCGTGACGGAGGCTGGGAGGTCAGTTCAGGCCGTGACCCTGTCCGACTCACGAGCGGGAGTCCCCCGTCAGGGGTGAAAAGAAAGCCACCGATAAGCAGGATATGGTGGGCGACAAACATGGACATTTTGCGAGACTTTAGTGACAAAATTGAGAAATGGGAACAAATAACAACAGACCATCCCAGTTAAACGAAGCTCAAATCCTTGTGTTGGTCTGTACTCGCCAACGCTAGCAGCGTGAGCATATATAGAGCACGTGTCGAAGTGTTGGCGTTTCGCTGCATGAGCAAGTTGAGCCAAAATATGTTGTTAAACATAGCAGCTTTAATCAGGATAGTTTGGAGCAGGTGACAAAAATATGCTACAAGCTATAATGTACCAGTGCGGATGTCACAGATCAGTAGTGACGCGGTGTTTTTCCCATGTCCCTCAGGTCAGTGTTTTCCACAGACCTTTCAGCCAAGCGTCAATTCACATACTAAACAGCATAAAACGCCAGACAACTAAGCGTATTACTAGTTGCAAGAATCGCAACAGACCACAGCATATTGCGACGAACGTGATCAGTTTGCCGCGCAGCGCTTTAAATTGTCGTGCCATTTGATAACGATGGCTTCGAATGCCCGCCACGCGATTGTGAATCGGGTTCAGTGCAAGACTGTAGACTACCTTTGGCTGTGTTTATGTCATGAGGTCATGCGGTTGAAAGACAAGCAATCGTCAGTTTATCTAAGGCGCTGTTCGTTTCTCCTAGAGCTACCATGACGGACGCTCCTGGTAATAGCGTAAAACCCCTGTCGATCTAGGAGGTCCGTTGTTTGTCTGCCCGAACTGTTCCTTCAGAAGTCAACAAAGGATCTCGGATCGACGCATATGAAGGACATATGAAAAATGACAAGTCAAATGACACACGCTGCCGTCCATGGAGAGACTCGTCAAGTGGAGGTCGTGATGAGAGACTCGTCAAGTGGAGTATGTGATGAGAGACTCGTCAGGTGAAGGTCGTGATGAGAAACTCATCAGGTGGAGGTCGTGATGAAAGACTCGTCAAGTGGATGTTGTAATGAGAGACCCGTCAGGTGCAAGTCGTGATGAGAGACTCCTCAAGTGGAGATTGTAATGAGAGACTCGTCAGATGGAGGTCGCGATGAGAGACTCGTCAGGAATGACGCAATAAGGGCTTTGATGCAAACCGTGGCCCTGCCCCAGATGGTACACGTGGCGTGCCAGTGACCACTAACCTGCTGGCCGACGAGTCCGGTACCAGCAGCGATGTCCATCACCTTCAGCTCGTCGCGGGGTACCGAGCCATCCTTCGGGTACATGCGGTTCACGGCCTCGCACACCAGCCGCGGCGCGTCGTAGTTGCCGGCCGCAAAGTCCTGCCGGGCACCGACCGGGCCTTCAAATACTTGGTCCGGTACGTGGGCCCCAAGTGACAGGCCGAAAGAGATGGGACAAGAGCACGCGTCATCCACGATTGTCAAATATTTGTAGCATGAACGGTGCGGGCAAAAACGGGCACATTACTACCATGGTACTAGCCGCACCCTATAATTTAAATTAAACGCATTTTGTCAACAAGTATATCGCAGTGCCTCACTTCCACATTGGGAGATGAAGGGCCCATGGCACAGCCTTTTTCAGGTAGAAAACATTGTGTTTTTTTCATGATTACAGAAATACGGGCATGGATAAGATGAACAGATGTCACAGATGGATGACTGAACTATCAGCTTTTCGTACAGGTCTGAGTTTGCAGCCAGGAAGGCAGTGTGTTCTTTTCCTAATATTCTGGCTGTGAAAGACCGCGTTGTGCAGCCACGTTGCAGGTAGATAGCGTTGCTTATTTGACAGGCACTGTAGATGTGAACTTCTCATCGTGGTGTTAGAGAAAGACATCGACGCGCGATATTAACTTCCCAGCTATAAATCCGAGCCGGTATAAGAAACGCATGCGTGAAAGCCTGGGAGCATATCGTGACTTTGCAAGTCCACCCATTCCATCCATCAATTACGCTGGCATGGCATGTATCGTTTGGCGTAGTTTCCTACAGCAAATATGCTGTACCCTGTTGTAACGAAAAATGATCAATTCAGTGTTACCATCGACTTGTAATTTTTGTTCTGCATCACAGAATTTAAGTCTGTCTGAGATTGGGATTCATTACATCTAAGCTAGGAGGAACGGAAGTTTGCTGTCATATTGCAGATAGACGATATGGTTCATTGCATATGCATGGGAAGGTTACATTTCACTATGGACTTGGACTCCGATCCTCGACAGTCATGAACTATGTTATGCCAATGAGAGTCAGGCTCGGCTTGTGCGGCCTGCTGCGGTGCAAGAACCCTGGAAATCAGGCTTGGAGTTTCTGGTCGCAGTTTCTGAGCCCTTTGATAAATCACGAGCTGTGATTTATCCTTGGAAAATAATTGACCATTAACAATCTGACGGTTGACAGCATTTTGTAATGAGCACTTTGTTCCAAGTATGGTGGTGATCTTATTAATGCATAGCGATACTGAAAATATATCCACGTTTAAACATTGTGCAGACTTGTTTTTCGTGACTGGCAGACTTCTGTTTTTAGGACGAAGCTTCTGGCAAACAAGCAGACTGCTAGCTTATTCTATCCTTATACCTGTGCTCATATCTGTAAGAAGAAAAATGTGCATCCATGCTCACAGACATACAAATAACTTTCTCCAATGCGCAAAATTCGCGGATTTGCCCGTTTGGCTTGGTTGCCCGCTGGCGTGTCTGGCCCATGACGAACACCATTAACCACCTCACTTTTTCCAGGGATGTGTGGAACAAGTGCTTGAAGCTACCTCCTTTCCTTATGATGAGCGATTGCAACCGCGGCAAGAGGGCCTCCCAGCTGGTAACCATGACTACGGCGGAGTGTTCGAATGATAGCTATAGACATAATCCGCAGAAGGCTGTCATCACGATTCTTGACATAATCATCGCCGTTCTGAATAACCACCCCTGGCAAACTGATCTATATAGATGTATTTTGGATCTTCTCGCTTTCAGTTTATGCTGCTTTTTTATTCACTGCATGCTAAAAGTCACATCTTAAGCCGCGAAGAAAATGCTAAAATTACACGTGCAGAACAATGCTGAATTGTGTTTATTTCACAAACTCGCTCCACTTCAAACTTCAAACGATGATCCTACCCAGACCCCACAATCCGGACCTCGACCACGCCGTAATGCTGCCTGCTTTAAATTTGCTCACCTTGTCGAAGCAGCTGGCAATCAGCCCATGACCTTCGCCAGCTGACACATGCGGCCCTATCAGCCGCATCTGCATACGTCCTCACCTCGTCATAACAGTTGGCAATGAGCCGATACCCCTCGTCAGCTGACATTTGCGGTCCTATGAGCCGCATCTGCCACAGCGCATTCGGCTCGTGCTTGAACTCGGGCGGACATTCCAGCACGGGCATGGTGGCGACGGTCAGCCTGGACTGCACTCGGGGCGGGCGCGCGTCACGGACTGGAGCCCGCCGCCGCCCCGCCGCCGCCTTGTGCGTGCCGGCAGGCCCGGGCCCGTCACGGGACCTGCGGCGCGTCACTCCCAGTGCCACCCGCGGCCATGTGGGCGTGGGGGTGGGGGCCTCACATAAAAAGGCAACCGTGTTTGTATCGGCTCGGGTCAAAACAGATGCCGGCCATTGGCGGCTGGCGTCAACGCGTGCCTAGACCCGACGTGTATATTTGCATGAACGGGGCCTCACGAATGACGGTGCAGCACTTTCGGGCTCGCTGTTACTGGGGCGTGACACCATTGTACGAATACAGATCGCAGTCATGGTGAATGTTCACTGACGGTTTGGAATGCTGGATGCTGGAATCGGAGACGTGCAGCAGCGCGGTGGCGAATCCAGCGCAGCTTCCGTCCCAAGGCCCGGCTGGGTCAAGAGATCAGTCCGCAAGGCAACCATTCAAAGAATCAGGTAGCGAAAACCCAAGTGGGCAGATGAGTAAATAAAACGGTGTTACGTGCTCCCCAAAACTCAAGTGGGCCCATGAGTAAATAAAAACGGTGCTACGTGTTCCCCTTCGACCGCCAAGGGACCGAATTTCAGCTACAAGGTATTTTTCATTGGGGGATTATTCATGTGACCCCAGCACCGCCGGTAATGTTCTAAAGGATGGCGGCGAATGCTAAACAAATATCTTGTGATTCAAGGCTGAAAAGAAATACCTCGTGCAAACACCGAACCCTACGTCGAATGAGATAGCGTCATATTCGTATTCAAATTCAGCATCGAGCTTAGATTTCTACCAGATTTCTTCCATGGCTCAACCTCGCCGAGATATTTACGAATATGCACTCCTGTTTCTCTACATCCCCAAGTCTTCTCTATGCAGGTCGCTAACATGTCAAGACTGTGGTATTTATATCAATATATGTGTATATGTATCAAATATATTTATGTGACTATGTATCACGAATAGTTATTTATGTGAATATATATTCATCTTTAAATAGATATAAAAACACCACGGATGCAAATTCCGTCATTGCCAGTTAAATATAACTTCAGAGACACTTATATCCATATCACATTTCCCCCATACCCATAGCACAGACACACTTCCTTCAAAAATAATATGCGTTATTGTATTATGCACATATTTTGTAAGCATCATTTATTATATCATGCAAATAATATCCGTTACGACCAAATACTTCATATGCCTCAGTATATCGTCTATGGTACACCTATGTATTGGCGGTCGTATACCAAAGTAATGTCCTCTGGAAGCTGGGATGGCTTTTAGCTGGGAATATGTACCTATATTACGGTCTCGCCCTTCTTAAAACGATGTTGACGGCATCAGAGCCAAGTCACTCGCTGGCGACCTTATTACCAGATATGACATTCACCACCGAACCGCTATGTCCGACGAGATAGCATTATATTCGTATTCAAATTCAGCATTGAGCTCAGAGTTTCCGCCAGATTTCTTCCGTGGTCCAACCACGTCGAGATATTTACGCATATGCACTTCCGTTTCCTCTACTCCGCCTAGTATTCTCTATGCAGGTCATTAGTAGGTCAAGACTGTCGTGCATGGCATTCCTTCGTTTTTAAATAAAAAAAGAGTCTCCTGCTACTGCTCGTCATGTTCACTTTCGTCACACTCAGCGAAAACTGGGTTTGAGGCCAATTTCAGGCAAAACGAAGTATCTTACCATTTCTTCGGTTATCAAACCATTGCAACATAATCATCATCATGTCAATGCTAGTGCCGTCCACTTCCTTCACACCGCCAAAGATGGCCTCTCAAGGTCAAAGCTCAAGGTCATGTCAGACGGGGCCCTTGGCACTTATTCTTTTTCAGAAGAAATGCAACTACCTGGATACCATGGTGATGCTTGTGATGCCTAAAAAATCGCGATCGATATTTATTTTACAGGATCATGTGAGCATGCAACCATCGCAGCATCCTGGATGCAGTTGAATAATCGCTTTTCATTGCTCGCATATTCAAATTATCTTAACAAATGTTAGTGCATTGCGTTTCAAAAGTATTTCTGCACAAAAAATTTCAACCAGCTCGTTTTTCGTGGATGGGAACCTCCAGGATATTGTTCATCCTGCCTCGGCCAGACAGTGATAGATCTTCAGCCTTGGTCCGGCAATGACATCAAAAATCCGATTCAGGAACTCATGAAGAAACCCCAAAGACCTAAAAAATCACACGCAATCGAGCGTGCTCGTCCTTCTCAAGCAACCAAAGTAAAATAGACGACCGGTTTTAGTTTCATTGCTGACATGTCCTGTAAACTCTTGGCAAAAACGCATGCTATGCGCTCTCTATTCCAAGCATGCGCAGCGCAATTTTCGCTGAATTTTTACATGTCACATGACAACTGCCAACGCGCAGGTCTGTTCAACATGCGCATAATCATTCCATGCATAATCATTACATAATCATTAGTATTGATACAAAAACGGCACCTACCGCACAAAACAACACGAAAACCAGGTAACGCAATGTGTACAAATTGGCCTGCCCCAAAACCCCTTACATGACGCGCATTACATATCGCCCCACACAATGCTGTTTATTCTTATTGTTTTTGTTCTAGTTCTATCACGTTAAAATCGGATATATATATATATATATATATATATATTATATATATATATATATATATATATATATATATACCAACCGTTCGGGCTTATCGAAGCACGTTTCGGACACATGCCACTGCATTGCTTGGAAAGGGAGGAAAATTTTAGATTATGGGGCAAACTGGAAAAAAGGTAATATTGATGATGGCATCGTCATTTCTTTTAGAATGACCAGGAGACAAACTTTTGAATAAAAACCAAGTGTACCGATGGAAAGTGTATATATATATATATATATATATATATATATATATATATATATTATATATTGCAGTTCAGACAAGTACACAAAAAACGGGCCGTTCAACACGCCGC